ACAGGGTGTGATAATACAGAGAAGAAAAAGCAACAAATTGATGTGGTTCCTTAAATACAGCTGCTGTTAGAACCCACAGACCCCAACACAGTCTCAAGGGGCCACACACTAAGTGCCTGACAGTAAATAGTTATAAGGCTGAAAAAAGCAAGCTGCAAAAGAATATACAAATCAATAGTTCGCAACAATATAAACATAAATATATTAAATTGGTTGGTTCCTTGGGAGAGCTGGGAAGGAAGCTCTCCCCCACCAAGAATATTTCTCTTTAACACCTCAGCTCAGAGACCCTAATTTGATTTTAATTTTATTCCATTCTATTTGATGGTTCTTATGTTCTATTCTATAGCTCCATTCATCTATTCACTTGCTCAAATATTCACACAACAGATAGTTCCATAGTGTAGCCATCTAGATTCTAAAAATAATCTAAAATGCTCTTTGGTTAAAACTCAATGAAATATGTAAAAGGAAATGCTGAACAGCCTACTGAATATGACCTAATTCCTTTCCTTTAGGAGTTTATATAAATAGAAACATTCCACATACCTGTCTCTATTTTAAACCAGCTTCTCAGCTTTATATGCTGGACACATGGGTAAGACTTAAACAGGTGTCTTCAGTTTCAACTGAATTCTTATCTTGGATGTACTACATCTGAAACATTAGTATAAACTGACACATCTAAAGAGGAGTTATAAAGATTTCTTCTTGTTAAGAATGCAGTAAATAAGCCTCAGAGTGTAATTTTTCTAAAATTTAATAAAAAGGATGCACATTCCCAGTGATCCAGAAATTCCACTCTTATTAATCATCCTTGAGAAACTCAGATGTGTGCAAAAGGATATATGACAAAAGTGCTTACAGTGGCACTGTGTAAAACAAAATACGGAAAGCAACGAAAATACCCACTAACAAGATATATTAACTGGAATACTACGCAGCAATAAAAATTAACCAGTACTACATGTATCAATCCAGATGGATATGGCAGATAAATCCCATAGTTATAAGGCTGAAAAAAGCAAGCTGCAAAAGAATATACAAATCAACAGTTTGCAACAATATAAACATAAATATATTAAAATGTATATATACCAAACATATACACACATAGCAAGTGAAGGTATAAAAGATTACATGAGTATGATAAATACCATATCAGGATAATGGTTAAAAGGTTTCAGCTGTGTTAATGGTATTTAATTTCTTAATCTAGGTGGTTTTATTTCTTAATCTAATGAACATATAATACATAAATGTTCATTATATTATTCTCTTTATAACTTCTTACATGTTCAAATTATTTCATAATACATTTTTTAAAGAGCAGATTTCTCTATCAAAAGGTTAATCCTGGCTGGCCATGGTGGCAAGGACCTGAACTCTCAGCTACTTGGGAAGCTGAAATGGAAGGATTGCTCGGGCCCAGGAGTTTGATGTCAGCCTGAGCAACATAGCAAGACTACATCTCTAAAAAAAAAAAAAAAAAAGAAGTTTAATCCTGCACTCACCGTTCCTGCCACTTCTACCAGCTCAGCAAAGCTCCCCCTGTCTTCTCATGAAGACAACAGCACTTCCACGCAGGGAAGACGATTTGCAAGAAGATTAAAAAGCAAATTCTTCCCATCCATACCTAGGTCATGTCCTGTCAGTTGTATCTGTCCTCTTTTTAACATAGCTACTAAGAAATCATGCTGGCCTCTCCCTTTCTCCTACACTTCAATCATGCACGCTTCATTCATTCATTCAGCAAACGTCTTCTGAGTACCTCCTCAGTGTAGAGCTCTGTGATACAAGAATGAGTGAGACCAGTCGCAGCCCTGGAGTGTCTGAGCCTCGTTCAGAGGCAGGCCATTATAACACAAAGCAGTAAGTGGAAAGCCAGAGCTAACTGAGCACAGGGGACTGGAGCCCAGAGGACCGGGGGCGAGTGCAAGGTGAGCTTCCGGGAGGAGGTATGTCCTGAGTTTCCTTTAAAAAGCAGCAGACACACACACACAGGGTAGCAGATCAGTGGGATCGATCACCACAGAGCCCATAGCCTGGGTTTTCTCTGCAGTATCCCTGAGGGAACGACCATGTCTGTCAGGCATTTCTGAGAAAAGGAGCGGGGCAGGGTACAGTAGGTGATAAAGTTAGAAAGGGAGGCAGATCCGTTAAGTCAAATCATGAGGGATTTATATACATGCTGACAGGCTTGGGCTCTAGATTAATACTTTCTTTCTTTTTTTTTTTTTTTTTTTTTTTGAGATGGACTCTCACTCTGTCACCCAGGCTGGAGGCAGTGGTGAGATCTCAGCTCACGCAAGCTCCCCTCCCGGTTCACACCATTCTCCTGCCTCAGCCTCCCGAGAGCTGGGACTACAGGCGCCTGCACCTCGCCCGGCTAATTTTTTGTTATTTTTTAGTGGAGACGGGTTTCACCGTGTTAGCACAGGATGGTCCGATCTCCTGACCTCATGATCCGCCCGTCTCGGCCTCCCAAAGTGCTGGGATTACAGGATTGAGCCACCGCGCCCGGCCTAGATTAATACTTTCAAATGGGGGAAGGGCCTCAGGAGCGAAATGGGGTCCTAGGCAGCGGAGCCTTCCCAAAGGAGGGAAGGAGGACACTCTCCCAAAGATGGGGAAAAAAAAGGTGTGGAAAGACCCCCCCCACAGAGGGAGTGGTGAAAGTTTGGGACAGAGAATCAAATTTAGGGCCAGAAAATACTAACGGTTAGGTACGGCCAAGGAACAGGATGCAAGGGGGTTAATATCGAGGACAAGACTAAAGGGGAGGGGAGCTCCTGTGACCCTGATCACAATAAATGCCAAAAGTTCACTGACATGCTACTCAGCCCCAACCCAATCCAGAAAAGAACTAGGTTAGTATAGTTAGTACAGTTTGGTGCTGAAAACAGCTTATGTGTTTAAATTCCTGCGTTCTTCACACCAGTACCAAGAAATATTTTCTGACATACAGCCTAAGCGATCCCTTCACTGAATCACACTCTGGCTGAGTCCAGATCCCAGAGCTTATCTTGGTAGCTGTCTTCTTTGTGTATGCCATCCAAGCACCTGACTCTTAAGCTCCTGCTGCCCAGTCGACAGAGCTAAATAAGACAATTCCACGATTTCCTTATCATCTTGGCTGCACTTCTTTAAACTCACTGCAATCTGCCTTCGGCAAACACTGTCACAACTCAAAATGGATCGTCACTGTTTCTCCTCCAGGAATGGGCAATAAACGGGCCACACACTAAGTGCCTGACAGTAATAATCAGAGCGACAGGCTAGAAGGGGAAGATAAAGAAATTAGTCAAGGATACCTAAAGGGCCAATGCAATGCCAACGCCAATGGTGAGTGGCAGAGAGTGCTCAGGAAAGGCAGCAGGGCAGAGAGATAGTTAGAATAGAAAACGGATGCTGAAGAGCAATGATTCTTCTTTGAAAGCCGGAAGAAACCAAATGCTCTCCATGTCTTCAGTTGCTGAGCACCTACCATGGGCAAAGCACTCTACTGTAAAATGCTCATCTTCCTGGTCAGAAATTACCTAGAAAAATGGGTTTCATCATGCTGGTGTTTTTCTGATGAGAAACCAACATGATGTTCTTCTGATAAAAGCTGAGTAACAAGCAGCCTTATGATTTAACGCTGAGAGATAAATATGCATGCATACACACACACCCGAAAACACACATGCACAAAGCGTCACTCCAATTATGTTTACTTGGTGAGAATAATCATACACTAGTGAATCTATCAATCAGGCAGCAAGCAGGAGAAACAGCGTCCCGTGCGTGGAGGCTATCTCCCAGCTCTGACTGTGAGCCATGCTCTCGGTGCCCTGAATCTACTGTTGTCGCTGCACCTGCACAGGATCTTTAGTAGCCTCCTGGTCTTGTAGGCTCACACAAAGCTTGTGACAAAGAAGCCCCCTGGGTCTTTTTCAGATGAACTGATACCAAGTCAGGTTTCGCTCGACTTGCCATGTGCAATTGCAAGATAATAAATTTACTTGTCCAAGGTAACTTCCCCTTTGTAGTTTCAAGCCCATGTTCCAGACTTGCATCATTAATTCATTTAATAACCAGAGACTCATCTGCTCCCATAAACTACAAATAAATGTTCAAAGCCACCAGAGTTGGTAGCAGGAAAGAAAATCTCCACATGGAAAGGTGTGGCTAAACCATACAGGGTGTGATAATACAGAGAAGAAAAAGCAACAAATTGATGTGGTTCCTTAAATACAGCTGCTGTTAGAACCCACAGACCCCAACACAGTCTCCTGTGGGCCCTAGATACGCCTCCCCAAAACAGGTCATTCTCCCACTTCCACGCGGGGGCAGGGCAGGCTCTCCTGCACTTCTGTACCCCTCAGAACCCAGGCCCAGGAAAAGAAGGCCTAGAAAGGAACACTTTCCTTTATCCTTTTCCCTCTTATCTAGAGCTCGCCTTCCAGGTCTCCATGGAAAATAGTGGGGAGGAAGCAAGAAGAGTATATCGTTCCCTTCTTGTTTCCTGGAACCCAGGCTTATCCATCATGAAACTAGAGGTGAGCCAACCACCTGTGTCTGCAGGGAAGCTTCTCCCATGGACCGCATCCCCCTGACATCATGGGCCTCTTGTGAGGTTCCACTGCTTCTGGTGTCCAGGTCCTGGCTGACTGAGTTCCAGACTTGGGTCATTCTTCCTACCCTGGGAGGAAACACACTGACAAAGTTCATACCCTTCAGGGACAGACTCACCCCTACACAGAGGTGTGGCCTTACACACTGGGCATGCTTCCGATGAAATTTTTGTTTTAAGTCTAACCCATGGTCACATTCCTGAAGATACTTACAATATATGGCAGGGTAGGTGTTTCAAAAGGAGTACAAATAAGGAATGGGCTATGATAGAAGTATAATGCCTTACAAAGGAAGGGCTTACAGCTTCCAGGCCAGGAGGCTTGGGACGAGTCTGGCAGACGTGACTGGTGAGCTGACTCCTGAAAGGCACGGAGGTGTCTGCAGGCCGGCGAGTAGAGAGCCTAAACGCCAGTTTGTCCTTTTCTCCCACACTGTGTGGGTCCTTAATAACAGAGACCACGTCTCCTTCCTCTCTGCATTCCCCCACAGAGCCCACCAGGCATGGGGCTTTATCCTTATCAGAAGCTCAATGAATGATGCCAGAGGGAATTAAATCCAACATATCTCACTGAGTAAACAGAAGTCCACCACATGCCAACATGTCCATCTGAGAAGTGCTTGCCCCACATCTTCAGGAGAACAAACGTTAGGCTGGGCTAAAGACAGACTATTTGGACAACAATATTTACCCCATAAATAAAATCAGAAAAAAAAAATCACTTCATGGCAATATAATTCATACAAAATACACCTGAGTACACACTCTTAGGTTAAAAAAATCATTACTTACCTAGGTCATTTTTCCTTGATATACCACTTTTCTCCAAATCCTGTATTTTAAATGAAAGAGAAAAAGATGAATCTCGGTACATAATGAAGCCAGCAATACACTGAGTAAACATGCGTGGTGCATGGTGGGTATCAGCGCATGGGAGGAAGATTTGAAAATGGGGGCTTGGAAACACTTCCCTAAAGAAATGAGACGGAAACCTAAGGGACCACAGAGCAGTGATGTACTTCTGCATCACGACAGACCTCTTAGGCTGGGCTGTGCCCTTCTCATGCGATCTTGGGCAAGTCGATTGAGCTGAAGCTCTTTCCTACTGTATAAGATGCAGTGACCGCTTAACTGGTTCATGAGATTCTCAGGAGGGTTCGTTTTTAAAGCTCTGTAAACCATAAAGCATTATGAACATATCAGAGGATAGTCTCGATTCTGGCAGGGTGCTCCTCATAAAGATGAGTTCCACGAATTACCGCACTTCATCATCTTTTGGGTGCAGACATACTGTCTTCCAGAATATTACCACAATGTTCTCTCCTACCTGAGTAGTCGTCCTAGGGGCCTGCACAGGGCCTCAGAGGCCAGCCTATGGTGGTCACTAGAATTCAGGAGCACAGAGGCCAGGTGCAATGGCTCACACCTGTAACCCCAGCACTTTGGGAGGCTGAGGCAGGTAGATCGCAAGGTCAGGAGTTTGAGACCAGCCTGGCCAATACGGTGAAACCCCGTCTCTACGAAAAATACAAAAATTAGCCGGGGATGATGGCGGGCGCCTGTAGTCCCAGTTACTCAGGAGGCTGAGGCAAGAGAATCGCTTGAACCCGGGAGGCGGAGGTTGCAGTGAGCTGAGATCGTGCCACTGCACTCCAGCCTGGAGGACAGAGCTAGACTCCATCTCAAAAAAAAAAAAAAATTCAGGAGCACAGAAGGGGCACTGTAAGAGCTGGAGAGCCCCAGACATAGAAATCTGGATGTGGGCAGAGAAATACCTGACCTCGACTCTGTGTAAATCAAGGGAGGAACTCTCAAAAGATTTCTCTAGCAAAGTGCAAAGCGTCAGCAGCTAAATCTGCCATTTTCATTGTCTTCTCTGCAGACTAAGAAGGAATTTTCTCCCTAATTGCCCTTTCCTGCTTTCAACTGCCATACGCTATAATTATGACAATTGGATGGTGGCAAATATCCTCCAATTGTCTTCACAGACTGCAACAAGAAATGTGGTCGCGAGCCCTTACCAACAAAATTGGGAGCAGCTTAAAAGCCAAGAGATGTATCCACAGAGATGCATCCTCTAAGAATACCAAAGGGACCATGAGAACACTGGGGGAGGAGAGAGCTAAACACAGGGGAGCGACCACCTTTAGTGGCATATTCTGAAATTATCTTTGTCTCGAGACTAGAAATGCCACTGAGTAGAGGAGAACCTAGAGTTATATGCTGATTTGTTAACTCTCAGGATGGATCAAGTGACACCCAACTTAATCCTGATAAAATACGAAGACCTGGAAGAAATTACTTAAAAAGACTGGAAAGCTCAATCCAGTTCTCTGAATGCACTGAACCAAAGCCAGGCTACCACCGTAAGTCAGCATGCGCAGACTTACTCTAAATGCCACTCCTGACCAGGAAGACAACCTGCCCTCAGGGAAGGCGCCAGCCTCAGCTCCAGAGGAGCCATTTGGCTCCACTGGCAACCCACCACCTGCCCCAGGCCAAGCTGCCTTCTGGATGCCACAGCTTTGGCTGCCAGCTGAGGCTCCTAGAAAAACAGAATTGTTAGATCTAAAAACAGCACTGGAGATGATTCAACCCAGCAATCCCCTTTTGCAAATGAGACAACAGAGGCTCAGAAAAGATAAATCATTTTCCCAAGGTCCACCAGTCATTCTGGCCACAGAACCAGAATTGCAACCCAGGTCTCCTAACTCGGTCCCAGTGCTCTTCCTCACACCACCATGATAACGCCTGCCCAGCCTTCCTCGGGAGAATGTAGAAAATACACATCATTAGATGTGAACAGATTTTGAGAGTGAGCTAAAAAATAATATAGAAAGCAAAAGTCACCTTTATCAACAAGTTAGAATGCTACAGTTCTAGACTGAGCAACTGAAGCTGCGAAACCAGCTGGGCTTTCCATCAGATAGCTATCTTTGTGAAATCAAAGAAAAGCAATGAAATGATACATCCTTCTCTTTGCTATTAAGCACAGCAGCTCTGCTGACTGACACAACAGCTAGGAAATGATTAGCCATTTCAAGGGGTTCAATCTGTAAACTGTAAAAATAAAATATGCAAGAAACAGTTGAATTAGGTGAATTGAGATGGAACCAAAATGGTCTTAACTAATTTCCCCTGTGAGAAAGAAAATTAGACTAAATTAACAGAACAATTAAAATTCTGTCTCCAGCTTCCCTTGTGAAAAGACTTAGTTCTTCCTAAGATGAAGGAAACACATGGTTTGTTTTATTATTTCTGCTGCCACATGTTTCTTACACTATCAGTATCAATCAAAATGTGCTCACTGTCAAGGTTTTATAAGTCAACTGAATTGCTATTCACATACAAAAGAGATTTGCTATTAATCTCTACCCCACAGATAGCTCCTATGCTAGTCAAGAAAACGCATATTAAAGTCACCCTTTGACACAGGTTTTATTTTTCAACTCACAATAGATTTGAACACTTGCAATCCATACATGTAATGCTTAGTTTATAAGTCCTTCATTAAAAGAAGATAAGACATCCTCAAAGAATTTGATATGGAATATTTTAAAGGGAAGAGGAGTAAAATGGAATCTCCCACCAGTGCCCTAGAGACTCTGAATAAAATAATCAGATGTGTTCATGATCACACTCAGTTGGCCCTGGGCTCTAATTCTGCCTGTACCACCAACTATCTCATGCCTGTTTCAACCGGAATAGGAATAATAATGACAAGACCCACTTCACAAGATTGTGTTGTAGGTTGAACAAGATAGTAAAATGCTGAGCACAGGGTGTGCACAAAGCAAATGCTCAATAATTATTGGCCCTTACCTTTTTTTCATCATCATCAACCACTTCATATGAAGTCAACTACCTCTACAACAGAAATGTAACGGACAAAAGCAGTTCCTCTTTACTTTGATTTGTTCAGGTAGGAAAGATGGCTTATGCGACCTCTTAAAAGGCTGCTTATAGGATTTGTTGTTGTCTTATCAGGTAAACATGTAAACAGGACCTGGCATTGTTCTAAGCTGTAAACAGGCACACTTAATCTCCAAAACAGCCCTGTGAGGTAGGTCCTACTACCCCATCTTACAGATGAGGAGGCTGAGCACAGCGAGGTTCACTAAGTCCCACAGCTGGCTAGTGGTGGAGAAGACATGAACTTCAGCACTTTGGGCCAGGCGTGGTGGCTCATGCCTGTAATCCCAGCACTTTGGGAGGCCGAGGCAGGCAGATCACGAGGTCAGGAGATGGAGAACATTCTGGCCAACACGATGAAATCCCATCTCTACTTAAAAAAAAAAAAATTAGCCGGGCGTGATGGTAGGTGCCTGTAGTCCCAGCTACTCAGGAGGCTGAGGCGGGAGAATGGCGTGAACCCGGGAGGCGGAGCTTGCAGTGAGCCGAGACTGCGCCACTGCACTCCAGCCTGGGCAACAGAGCAAGACTCTGTCTCAAAAAAAAAACACAAAACAAAGAACTTCAACACTTTGGTTCTCACGACCAGTGCCTTATGCCTGTCATTCAGGACTCAAAGTCACAAGGACTTTGAGTGCTACCACAGGACTAGGTAGCACTTTAAATGTGTCACAAATGATCCTCATTATTGCCAAACACACACATCATAATGCATAGGGCTGTGTAATATAAAACAGTAAAGTGAGAAATATTCAAGGATTCAGAAAATTTGGATTCTAACTTTACTTTTTAATAATGTCTTTAGGTGATGAATCACATTTATTGATTTGCGTATGTTGAACCAACCTTGCCTCCTAGGAATAAAGCCTACTTAACTGTGGTGGATTAGCTTTTGATGTGCTGCTAAATTTGGTTTGCTAGCATTTTTGTTGAAGATTTTTGCAACTATGTTCATCAGGGATACTGGACGTTTTCTTTTTTTGTTGTGTCTCTGCCAGGTTTTGGTATCAGAATGATACTAGCCTCACAGAATGAGTTAGGGAGCAGTCCTTCTTCCTCCATTTTTTGGGAGAGTTTCAGTAGGATTGGAAGCAGCTCTTCACACATCTGGTAGAATTTGGCTATGAATCTATCGGGGCTTTTTCATAAACCACATGATCATCTGAATAGATGCAAAAAAAGGCTTTTGATAAAATTCTTTCATGTTAAAAACTCTCAACAAATTAGGCATCAAAGGTACATACCTCAAAATAATAAAAGCTGTCTATGACAAACCCATAGCCAACATCATACAGAATGGGCAAAAGCTGGAAGCTTTCCCCTTGAGAAAAGGAACAAGACAAGGATGCCCACTCTCCCCACTCCTATTCAATATAGTATTGGAAGTCTAGCCAGAGCAATCAGACAAGATAAAGAAATAAAAGGCATCCAAACAGGAAGAGAGGAAGTCAAACTATCTCTCTTCACAGACAGTAAGATACTATACCTAGAAAAGATCTAATCAACTTCAGCAAAGTTTCAGGATACAAAATCAATGTACAAAAAGCAGTAGCATTTCCATACACAAATAACATCCACGCTGACAGCAAATCAAGAAAGCAATCCCATTCACAATAGCCACAAAAAGGCCAGGCACAGTGGCTCACACCTGTAATCCCAGCACTATGAGAAAGGCTGAGGCAGGTGGATCACTTGAGGTCAGGAGTTCGAGACCAGCCTGGGATACATAGTGAAACCCCATCTCTACTAAAAATACAAAAATTAGTCAGATGTGGTGGCAGGCGCCTATAATCCCAGCTACTCAGGAGGCTGAGGCAGGACAATTGCTTGAACCTGGGAGGCATAGGTTGTAGTGAGTTGAGATCACGCCACTGCATGCCAGCCTGGGTGACAGAATGAGACTCCCATCTAAAAAAAAAAAAAAAAAGTAGCCACAAAAAAGAATAAAACACCGAGGAATACAGCTAACCAGGGAAGTAAAAGATCTCTATGAGCATTACAAAACACTGCTGAAAAAAATCAGAGACAACAAAACAAATGGAAAAACATTCCTTGTTCATGAATAGGAAGAATAAATATTGTTAAAATGGCCATATTGCCCAAAGCAATTTACAAATTCAATGTTATTTCTATCAAACTACCAATGAAATTCTTCACAGAATTAGAAAAAAAATTCTAAAATTCATTTGGAACCAAAAAGAGCCCAAGTAGCCAAAGCAATCCTAACCCAAAGAAACAAAGCTGGAAGCATCATATTACCTAACTTCAAACTATACTTCAAGGCTACAGTAACCAAACAGCATGGTAGTGCTACAGAAACAGACACATAGACCAATGGAACGGGTTAGAGAACCCAGAAATAAAGCCACACACCTATGACTATCTGATCTTTGACAAAAACAAGCAATGGGGAAAGGACTCACTATTCCATAAATGGTGCTGGGATAATTGGCTAGCCATATACAGAAGATTGACACTGGACCCCTTCCTTACACCACACACAAAAATCAACTCAAGATGAATTGAAGACTTAAATGTAAAACCTAAAACTATAAAAACCCTACAAGAAAACATAGGAAATACCATCTGGACATTGGCCTGTGCAAAGACTTCATGAGGAAGACTACAAAAGCAACTGTAAGAAAAACAAAATTTGACCAGTGGGGCCTAATTAAACGAAAGAGCTTCTCCACAGCAAACTAAATTACCAACAGAGTAAACAGACAACTGACAGAATGCAAGGAAATATTTGCAAACTATGCATCTGACAAAGGCCTAATATCCAGAATCTATAAGGAATGTAAGCTAGTCAACAAGCAAAAAACAAACAACCCCATTTTAAAAATGGGCAAAGGACATGAACAGACACTTCTCAAAAGAAGACATACATGCAGCCAATAAGCATATGAAAAAAAATGCTCAACGTCACTAATCATTAGGGAAATGTAAATCAAAACCACATGAAATACCATCTCACACTAATCAGAATGGCCATTAATATTAAAAAGCCAAAAAAGAACACAAGCTGGCAAGGTTGCAGAGAAAAGGAATACTTATGGCTGGTGGGAATGTAAATTAGTTCAGCCACGGTGGAAAGAGATTTTTCAAAGAACATAAAATAAAACTACCATTCAACTCAGGAATTTCATTATTGGGTATATACCCAAAGGAATATAAATTGTTCTGCCATAAAGACACATGCACACATATGTTCATCACAGCAGTATTCACAATAGCAAAGACATGGAATCAACCTAGATGCCCATCAGCAGTAGACTGGATACAGAAAATGTGGTATGGATACACCATGGAATACTACACAACCATAAAAAAGAATAAGAACATGGACTTCGCAGCAACATGGAGCTGGAGGCCATTAGCCTAACCCAATTAATGCAGAAACAGAAAATGAAAAACCACAAGTTCTCACTTATAAGTGGGAGCTAAACGGAGTGTACACATGGACACAAATAAGGGAACAATAGACACTGGGGTCTATTTGAGAGTGCAGGGTGGGAGGAGAGCAAGGATCCAAAAACTACCTATAAGGTACTATGCTTCTTACCTAGGTGACAAAATAATCTATCCATCAAACCCCTGTGACATGCAATCTACCCCTGTAACAAACCTGCACATGTACCCCTTGACCTAAAACAAAAGTTGAAAAGAAAAAAAAAAAAAAAATCATGTAACCTTGGTCAAATCAGGTAACTTCTCTGAGGCTAAGTTTTCTCTGTTGTAAATGGGAATATTTGCTTTAACAAATAACAGGATCATGGAGAAGATTAAATTATATGTGTGACATGCTTTATTAATCATAAAAGGTCTTAAAATCGTAAGCAATTAGTATTATCATTTCCCCTGTGTAAGAATCTCATAGTACAGTTAAAATACTCTGTTGATAAAAGAAACATACTATTAAAAAAACGCATTTACACCAATTGTGGGGTAAAAAATAGAGTCAACTGAGCTTTAACTAATATGACAAAAACAACTGACATTTTAAACTACTGTTTTTCTTTTTTATGTGCTAAACTGATCTAGTGCAAAGCCCAACTAATAAACATTTAGAGCCGTTCCCTGACTACAACCAATGATTAAAAAGCAGCAGCTCCGAGATTGGGATAAGCACTGCCTGCTCTCTGCGAGTCCCCTGGCCTAGCTTTCTGGTTCTGACTGTCTGGTAGTAGAGTCACCTTTGGGGTCTCCCACCCAGCCCCCAGCACACCCTCTCACACACTGCCACCTTCAAGGTGAGACTAATCAGGTTTCTGTGACATAGTAAAATCCTTTCACAGACTGAGATAATTAAACCCAAGGTTAAGATATTTGCTAAGACTGGGCCGGGTGCAGTGGCTCATGCCTGTAATCCCAGCACTTTAGGAGGCTGAGGTGGGTGGATCACCTGAGGTCAGGAATTTGAGATCAGCCTGGGCAACATGATGAAACCCTCTGTCTAATAAAAATGCAAAAATTAGCCGGGCATGGTGGCGCACGCCTGTATTCCCAGCTACTGGGGAGGCTGAGGCAGGAGAATCACTTGAACCCAGGAAGTAGAGGTTGCAGTGATCTGAGACTGTGCCACTGCACTCCAGCCTGGGCGACAGAGTGAAACTTGGTTGCAAAAAAGAAATAAAAGACGGTATTTGGTAAGACTGGGGAAAACTATGGTATCCAAGCAAGACTATTAAAATGTACAACTCTATGTCAAAACACCTTTTTTCTCAAAATAACTTTAAAACCAAGTGGATCAGCCTTAAATATTAAAGGATTTTTAAAAAGCAAGTCTATCTATAGGTTGCGTTAGGGATTCAAAATGTGTTGACCAACAGTATATGAATTCATATAACAATAAAAATGATAACAATTGAAGAATGAAATGATTACAGTTCCCATTAGAGAAAATACAAGGGAACCTTGGAAGGAAAAGATTTGATCATTGGGATTAGTACCTGAGACTGCTTGACCTCTTTCTTTGTATCTTCAGAAGCCAAACCAAAAGCTGGAAAAAAAAAAAAGAAACATTTTTACATTAGAGTTAGCAATTCAGGTTAATTCTTATATCCAACCGTTTTGCTTATAATAAAAAAAGATACTTTAACAAGACGTATTTTGCTCATTTTTAAGCAGCTGCATTGCTGCAAACTTGTTATTACTGGCTTTCTTCATCTCAGACCTAAAATTATTCATCAACACAAAGCCAACACGCTTCGGCTACCAAGCAAAAGAAATAGTACATCAGACAAATTCAAAGCTGTGTATGCCATTTGTGTCTATAGACATAAACCATAAAATAGATGTGTACAAAATACTACTTCTTAGAAACCTTAAGTGTGGTGCCTTCTTAAGCAAAGGGGAATTCCTGAGAATCCAGGAGGAAGAAGTACAAATTCTCACCCTCAAAATCACTCCCAGAGCCTGGCAGGCAACAGAGCTAAATTTAGAGCAAGTTTTTTCCTAAGGGCTGCAAGGTTAGAAGTGTGATGCAGATACTGCTACCAGCAAGCACAGAACCTACTAAACCCTAACAGAACCCTACTAAAGCAATGGGGCTGGGAGAGTGAGGGAAATTAAAATCACTCTCCATTTAGAATGAATGAATGTTTCGAGTCAGAGCCATAATAGACAAAGATATCCCTAGAGCCACATTTAGGCTCTGCATTAAAAATAATAACAACAACATGACAGTAACACTCTGAAAATATAAAGCAAAATGACAAGCCAAACAGGAAGCTTAACAGAACAAAAAATAGTACCCTTCATTTTACAGCACATTTCTCCTCAACAGCTAAGAGGAAAGCACTGCAGAGTTCACTTTCTCCAATTAGCACTCACAGGAGTAAAAGGCAGTGCCATAGGGCAATGATGTACTAAAAGAGTGGGAGAAGTGACACCATGGAACAATAATGTACAAGGAGTGTCAGCAGAGGGGCTCCTTGGTGGCAGAGGGGACCCTACTCAGAAGCAGACCACTTCACCCATTTGGATCCCTTCTAATTCCTCCCCATCCCCACCCCCAGACATCCATTGCCTCAAATATTGCATTAACATTTGCTCAAAAGAAAGAATCTAAAACATCTTCACACTAAGAAGCAAATGACGAACATGGTTTCATCGTTTCCATTTCCAGAATGACATTTCAAAAGGCAGGGTGAAACTGAAATCTAAGCCATATGAACCTCTATGTGAACAATTTAGGTAACAGTAGACATTATACAAGGCCTCCCTGAGACCATCTCACATAAAATAATAAATCCCCAATTCCACACCCTCCTTATCCACCTCAGTCTGCTTTACTCTTCTCCAGAGCACTTATCACCAACTGACATATATATTTATTTATTACTTATCTTACATCAGCTGATTATAAGCTCCACAAGGGCAGGAATACAGTTATACTGGGTTTGGGTGGGGGTGGGGGTGGGGTTGTTTTGTGTTTTTTGAGACAGGGTCTCACTCTGTTGCCCAGGCTAGACTGCAATGGCACAATCTCAGCTCACTGCAACCTTCATTCCTGGGCTCAAGTGATCCTCCCACCTCAGCCTCCCGAGTAGCTGGGACTACAGGCATGTGCCACCATGCCCAGCTAGTTTTTGTGTTTTTTGTGGAGACAAGGTTTCAACATGTTACTCAGGCTGGCCTCAAATTCATGGGCTCAAGCAATCCGCCCACCTCGGCACCCCAAAGTGCTAGGATTACAGGCCTGGGCTACTACCCCACCAGGAATACAGTTTTATCTACTGTTTGCCACCACACCAAAAGCACAGCTAGCACACAGAAGGAACTCAATAAATATGTACTTAATAAATGAATGAGTGAAAGTCTTCACTCTGGAGGACCCTAGGGTCACATCACATAAGGACTGCCCGCTCCCTATACTAGGCAGCGCCAACCCAGTAGAACAAAGAAGCTTAGTGCCTCTCACCTTTATTTTCAACAGGATCTAATGCATTTTCTCACTTTACACACACACACACACACACACACACACACACACACGAAAAACAAAGCCCAATCATCACTTCAAGTTCTAAGAAGAAAGGAGAGATTTAATTGCAAAGCCATTTAAATTCTGCTTCTGGGTACTTAACTTTTTGGTTTTATTTTATTTACTTCTAAGCTAATATGCACATTTAAAACCCTGCAGAAGATATCAAGAACAGAATTACTTAAGGAATATCATACAGGGAGGTTTGCAACATGTTAACACATCTTAGCACCACAGAATTCCAGAAAATAGAATATTCTGAGAACTTGCAAGATACAAAAACTGTGATCAAACTAATTCATGACTTTGATTCAAAAATCCATCTCCCGCTGAGCGTGGTGACTCACATATGTGTAATCCCAGCACTTTGGGAGGCCAAGACAGGAGGATCCCTTGAAGCCAGGAGCTTGAAACCAGCCTGGGCAACATAGGGAGGCCTTATCTCTACAAAAAATAAAAAAATTAGCCAGACATGTGGCTGAGCACAGTGGCCCATGTCTGTAATCCCAGCACTTTGGGAGGCTGAGGCGGGGGGATCATGACGTCAGGAGTTTGAGACCAGCTTGGCCAACATAGTGAAACCCCATCTCTACTAAAAATACAAAAATTCGCCAGGCATGGTGGCAGGTGCCTGTAGCCCCAGCTACTAAGGAGGCTGAGGCAGGAGAATCACTGGAACCTGGGAGACGGGGGTTGCAGTGAGCAGAGATCACACCATCACACTCCAGCCCGGGCGACAGAGCAAGACGCCGTCTTTAAAAAAAAAACAACAACCAGTTATACTAGAGCACGCCTGTCATCCCAGCTACTTAGGAAGACAAGGCGGGAGGATCCTTTGAGCCCAGGAGTGAGCTATAATCATGCCACTGTACACCAGCCTGGACAAGAGTGAGACCCTGTCTAAAAAAAACCCATCTCCCCCTCCCCAATTAATTCCTAATTCCAAACAAGGACAGTCAAATATCTCTGGGGTTAGAATTTCTTCTTTTATCAAATAAAATAACTTTCTTAATGTAACAGGTCCAGTAGCATCATCTAATAACACGTTTACTTTTACTTCACTTTTTTACAAGGCCAGACTGAGCTATATGACCACGAAGTGCATGTGAACACAAAAGTCCCTAGCCCTTAGAATGTAGAATATAGCGCAGGGAAGGTATCTTTATTTGGTACTGGTTCTTAAAATTACTAATGTATCACCTTTTGTAAGTAAGCAGCTAATATTATTTGATGATGTAACTGTTTAAAGTAGGAATTACATACAGGAAAGATATTGCCAATACGTCAAATTCCACAAATTCTGCTTGTTGTAATCGACACACCATTCCTTTAGCCAGACAAAGCTTAACTGAGCTAAGTTAAACTAGATTCTAGCTCTGTCCAAAAATATAGACCTAGAGTTAAAATATCCATTTAAAAAAAAAAACACCCAAACCAAAAAAGCCTGTCATTTCTCATCACTCTGTCGTGAAATTTAAAATTCCTTTTTCCCATGATAGACACAAATTATAATATTTAAAACAATGACATAAAAAATGCATCAGAGTTACTTTCCGTTGTAGGAACAAATCATAAAACAAGATAATCCTTAGAAAAAAATGCCAGTTGTTTTTTGTTTTGTTTTGTTTTGAGACAGGTCTCACTCTGTTGCTCAGACTGGAGTGCAGTGGCACTATCTCAGCTCATTGCAACCTCCACCTCCATTCAAGCGATTCTCTCCTACCTTAGCCTCCTGAGTAGCTGGGATTACAGGTGCGTGCCCTATGCCCGGTTAATTTTTGTATTTTTAGTAGAGCTCGGGTTTTGCCATGTTGGCCAGGCTGGTCTCAAACTTCTGACCTCAGGTGATCCGCCCACCTCGGCCTCCCAAAGTGCTGAGATTACAGGTGTGAGCCACCATGCCCAGCTGCCAATTGGTTTTATCTTTACATTTCTATAATCTAAATAAATCAAAAGAAATCATCAAGGAACCAAATGTGGCCAGACGTAGTGGCACATGCCTGTAATTCTAGCACTGTGAGAGGCTGAGGCAGGAGGATTACTTGAGGTCAAAAGTACAAGACCATCCTGGGCAAGATGGTGGGACCCCATCTCTCCAAAAAAAAGAAAAAAATTAAAGCTTAGCCAGGCTTGCTAGTGCACGCCTGTAGTCCCAGCTACTTGGGAGGCTGAAGTGGGAGGACTCCATGTATCCAAAAGCTCAAGGCGGCAGTAAACTATGGTCATGCCACTTCACTCCAGCCTGGGTGACAGAGAGAGACCCTGCCTCTTAACAAAATATAAATAAATAAAAATAAAAAGGAACCAAATATACTGTGAAGGCACAGAATATGTTATACCACTAACAAATCCAATCTTAAAATAACTAACCATTTACAGAATTCTTACCCATAAAAATCCTGGTTTCATGGAAATGAAAGAGAAATGGTGCAAAGAGATGAGCAAAGTGAGAGAAATTAGCAAGGGAGGTAGGAAATTGCCTGTCACCTTCAACAATGCTAACAAGAGTGCATACTGCAATTTGAGTCTGGGCTAGTGAGTGACAAAGAAAAGGAGGAGTGAGGGAAAGATTTCTCCATCCTGCCCCCAACCAAAGGGGCACACAGGAGTGGCTACCTGAGGCTCAGTGTTAGCTGTTTGCTTTCATATTAATTTCCAGATTCAGTAGGGAAAATATTGTTGAAAATTTGGCCTTAGTGCTTTAATGTGCAGTTGGAGAAATATTCCAGGGTAAATCATGCTTTATATGCCAAACTGCTGTTTAAAAGTAATTTCCCCTTTTCTATTTTCAACATGAATTCTGGTAAATTGCAACAGGGAACTATATTTAAAGTGCAAATCAGGGCAGGCAACAGAAATCGGACCTTTTTCATGATAACTTTAAATAATTCAAGCCAACAAATGTGTTAGCACGCCTAGACGGAGAGATAAATCAAGATTTTACAACTAACCTGGGACTAAGATTTATAGGCCAGCCTAAGCCCCCGAGTGTAAGAAAACTGGCGAGTAATTAA